GGTATGTGAGTCCTACTTATTTCTTTTCTAAGCCTAAACATGAAGTAAAAAGTATAGCGGTTAAATTTAACCCTGGTGACATAACCATAAATAGCGCACTGAGCAGTATCATATCTATATTAACTCTTTTATTACTTTTATTTATATATATACCTGGAGAATGATTTAATATAGTTAGTATTCTTACTCTTATATTGTTTAAAGCCTAAATGACAAGTCAAACATTTTTTCTTATATTTATACCTATACTAGCTCTAGTATTGTTAGCTATAAACTTAATATTTGCTCCCCACAACCCGTATGAAGAAAAGGACAGTGCCTTTGAATGCGGGTTTCACTCATTCTTAGGACAAAATAGAAGTGAGTTTAGTATATCATTCTTTATATTTGCATTGCTTTTTCTGTTGTTTGACTTAGAAATATTACTAGTGTATCCCTACATCGTTAGTGCATATGTTAATGGTATATTTGGTTTAATAGTAATGCTTATATTCTTCTTGGTGTTAACTCTAGGTTTTGCATTTGAACTAGGGAAAAATGCTCTTTCAATCGAAAGTAGACAAGCATATAGCGCAAAATAAAAAAAACTTTATCTTTAAGGTAAAAAAGATCTTTTTTTGTGTTTAGTCTATATATATATACTGTTATGTTAAACTTAAATAGAAGTGCTTTTCAAGGGCACCCCTTTCATTTAGTCTCTCCTTCTCCTTGACCAATATTAACCTGTATTAGTTTATTAACTTTAACTACCTCAGGTGTATTAACTATGCACGGTTTTTCCAACGCTGGTTATTGATTACCTCTTGCCCTTATACTAGTAATGTCAAGTATGTTTTTCTGATTTAGAGATGTTATTTCAGAAGGTACTTATTTAGGTAATCACACTCTAGCTGTGCAAAGAGGTCTTAACATGGGAGTTGCTCTCTTTATAGTTTCTGAAGCTTTATTTTTTCTAGCTATATTTTGAGCTTACTTTCACAGTGCATTGTCACCAACTGTAGAATTGGGAGGTCAGTGACCTCCTATGGGTATAGAGGCAATTAATGCTTTTGAGTTACCACTACTTAACACTGTTCTTTTATTAGCATCTGGAGTAACTATTACTTATTCACATCACTGTTTAATACAGGGTAACAGAAACGGAGCTTTATATGGAGCAATGTTTACTATAATTCTAGCTTTAATATTTACTGCATTTCAAGGTGTAGAATATTCAGTTTCTTCATTTACTTTATCTGACGGTGCATTTGGATCATGTTTCTACTTTGGAACAGGTTTCCATGGAATACATGTTATAATAGGTACAATGTTTTTAACAGTTGGTTTCTGACGTTTATTAGCATACCACTTAACTGAAAACCACCATTTAGGACTAGAATCTGGTATATTATATTGACATTTTGTAGATGTAGTTTGATTATTTTTGTTCCTTTCTGTATACTACTGAGGTTCATAAGAATAAATATTTTCTGGTTTTTATTGCATCTGTAATTGGTATGCACTTAAAAGCGAGTATAACAACCTCGTTCTAGAAAAAAAAAACAAACAAACAAACATAAAACAATACTTTATTTTTATTCGCTAAACACATGTATTAACTAATGAATTTATCACTTATACTTTTTTTAATTGGTATACTAGGTTTTGTTTTAAACCGTAAAAATATTATACTTATGCTTATTTCAATTGAAATAATGTTGTTAGCTATTACATTTTTAATTTTATTGGGTTCACTTAGCTTTGACGACATATTAGGTCAGACTTATGCCATATATATAATATCAATTGCCGGAGCAGAATCAGCGATAGGTTTGGGTATTTTAGTAGCATTTTATAGATTAAGGGGAAGTGTTGCAATAGAATTTAAATAATGTACTTAGCCATAATAATATTACCTTTATTGGGTTCAATTGTTTCTGGATTTTTTGGTAGAAAGGTGGGTGTAAAAGGTGCTCAATTAATAACTTGTTTATTGATCTTTACCACAACTGTTCTTTCTGTTTTTGCTTTTCTTGAAGTTGGAATTAATAATATTCCTGTTTCTATTAACCTCTTTAGGTGAATTGATTCAGAGTCATTAAATGTCTTGTGAAGTTTTAACTTTGATTCTTTAACAGTGTCAATGTTAATTCCTGTACTTATTGTATCTTTATTGGTACACGTTTACTCTGTAGGTTATATGAGTGGTGATCCTCATAACCAAAGATTTTTTAGTTACTTAAGCCTTTTTACATTTATGATGGTTATTCTTGTTACATCAAACAGTTTTTTACTTATGTTTGTAGGGTGAGAAGGAGTAGGGGTATGTTCTTACTTGCTAGTTAGCTTTTGATTTACTAGAATTGCTGCAAATCAAAGTTCTTTGGCTGCTTTCTTAACAAACAGAGTAGGGGATTGTTTTTTAACTATAGGTATGTTTGCCATCCTATGATCTTTTGGTAATGTTGATTATGCAACTGTTTTTTCTATGGCGCCCTTTGTAAGTAACAATATAGTAACACTGGTTGGTATATGTCTACTTATAGGTGCTATGGCCAAAAGCTCACAAGTAGGATTACATATTTGACTACCTATGGCTATGGAAGGACCCACACCTGTTTCTGCCTTAATACATGCTGCCACAATGGTTACTGCAGGTGTATACTTGCTAATGCGTAGCTCTCCCCTGATAGAATACAGCAACACTGTGTTGGTATTGTGTTTATGACTGGGTGCTATTACAACCATATTTAGCTCTCTTATAGGTTTATTTCAGCAAGATATTAAAAAAGTTATAGCTTATTCTACTATGAGTCAGCTTGGTATGATGGTTATAGCAGTTGGTCTTTCATCATATAATATAGCACTATTTCACCTGGTAAATCACGCCTTTTATAAAGGTCTTTTATTTCTTGGTGCTGGTGCTGTAATACATGCAGTAGCAGATAATCAGGATTTTAGAAAGTATGGAGGGTTAAAGTCTTTTTTACCTTTAACTTATTCAGTTATGTTAATAGCCTCACTAAGCTTAGTGGCGTTCCCTTTTATGACTGGATTTTATTCCAAAGATTTTATTATTGAGTCCGCATACGGTCAGTTCTATTTTGCTAGTACAACTGTTTACTTTGTATCTACTATTGGTGCAATGTTTACTACATTGTACTCTGTTAAAGTTTTATACTTAACCTTCTTAACCAACCCGAATGGGCCTTTGATAAATTACAAACATGCTCATGAAGGAGATATATTTATGAGTATGCCTCTAATAATACTTGCCGTTTTCTCTATATTTTTTGGTTATATAACTAGAGATATATTTATAGGACTAGGGTCTGGGTTTTTCACAGACAACAGTTTATTTATTCATCCCTTGCATGAAATAATGTTGAATACAGAGTTCGCCGTGCCTACACTGTTCAAATTGTTGCCTTTATTTTTCACTGTTTCATTAAGCATACTGTCTATAGTTTTATCTGAATATTTACCTAAGACCTTAACTAATTTTAAGCTTTCTAGGTTTGGATATAATGTATACAGCTTTTTCAACCAACGTTTCTTTGTTGAGCTGTTTTACAATAGATATATAACAGACTTTGTTTTAAAGCTAGGAGGACAAACTACTAAAGTCATAGACAAAGGTTCTATTGAGCTAATTGGGCCTTACGGTTTAGAAAAGGGGTTAGTGGGTTTAAGTAAAAACATAGCTAGCTTAGATACAGGTGTAATAACATCATATGCACTGTATATTTTAGTTGGTTTAATTTTCTATATACTAATACCTTACCTATATGTAATAGACAATAATTTATTAATAGTTGTATTGTTTGCTTTATTAAGTATAACTAAAAACGAAAAGTAAAAAAAAAAATATAGATATGTATGTTGTGTATTAAGAAAAGATTGAGCCTGCAACTCTTTATTGTATGGGAGTTAAAATAGCTCAACTACTCTTGTATAAGGCATAAATGATTTTTTATTTAATTACGGTTAGGGCCCCTGGGCAGCGGCACGCTCTTGATTGTAGAGGCTATGGACGGAGGTTTTTTAGGGATAATGTAAATAATAGAACATTTGTTTTACCTTGTAAATATTATAAGGGATAGGTGATTTGAACACCTAACCTTCCGTGTGTAAAACGGTTGCTCCACCAATTGAGCTAATCCCTTTGCAGTACGGCCTTTGTTATTTTACTTAAACTGCTTTAATATACATTGCATTACTAACTGTGGTGATGCATAACCAGCCTATATGTCGTTACAACTTATACTTACAATAATAAACAAGAATTAAATGTTTAGCCAGAGGAGAAATTTGAATTCTCATTATTAATGCATGAAATTAATGTTCTAACCAATTGAACTACTCGGGCTGGGATACTGTTTAAGAAAGTCAGTATTAGGGTGGATACCCTGACTTGAACAGGGAACTTACTGTGCCACATACAGTTGTTCTGCCTATTGAACTATATCCACCTTTATAATTTATTTTATTAATGCAAACTAATGTTTATCAGCTGTTAAATGCAATGCATTTAAACCCCCAAAGAGTAAGTGAATTTTTATGTTGGAGTGATTCGAACACTCAATAGTAAATACCAAAAATTTATGACTTACCGATTAGTCCACAACATATATATAATATTATACTTACTAATGTAAATAACTTGTTTGTTTGGATAAGAAGTAAATGGACACATTCTCATTCAAGACTTGAACTTGAACCTGGATATTAGGAATATCTTGCTCTGCCATTAAGCTAATAAGAATTCGTTTGTCTTTCTTTTTTAATCTTTGTTGTTTGGCTTTCAGGTTTATATCAATTGCGCATTCTTATTCAAGACTTGAACTTGAATCTAGATATTAGAAGTATCCTGCTCTACCATTAAGCTAATAAGAATTTGTATAAACTGTTAATTTTTTAGAGATGTGGAGGAATTGAACCCCAAATTGTCGATTTGCAATCGAAATGTAGAACCTTCTACCACACATCTCTTAATTGCTTTATATGTTTTATTTTTGGCTTAACGTATGCAAGACTCGAACCTGCAACCTTTGTGTCCGTAGCACAATACTCTAACCATTGAGTTAACACGCTTTCTTAAAGTTATGTGATATTAGCCCTTAAGATGAATTGAACATCTATCAGAATATTAACAGTATTCCGCTCTACCGTTGAGCTATAAAGGCTTTAAAAATAGAAAAGCATATAAATCTAACTTGTTTTTGCATGCCTATTCTTTTTTTTTGCATTTATACATGTTGTGTATAAAGGGTATTACGCTAGTTTATTGTTCTTGTAATCAAGATAAAAACTTCTCAAGAGAAATAGACTCTATTACAATAGGCATAGAACTGTGTAATATACCACATATTTCTGAACATTGTCCAAAAAATGATCCTTCTCTGTTTACAAGAACAGATATTTGATTAAGTCTTCCAGGATAAGCATCACACTTAATACCTAGAGCAGGGCAAGCGTAAGAATGTATAACATCACCACTTGAAATTATAAATCTTACGTGAGTTAATTCTGGCAATATAACTCTATTATCAACCTCTAATTGTCTTAGTCCTCCATCTTCTAGATCTGATTCAGGAACCAGGTATGAATCAAATTCTAATTCTTCATTGTCACTGCTAAGAAAGTCAGGATATTGATAGCTTCAGTATCACTGATGTCCTTCAACAAACACAGTTAAAGAGGGGTCTGTAACTTCATCCATTAAATATAACAGTTTAAATGATGGAAATGCTATTAAAATTAATATTAATGCGGGTGTTATTGTTCAAATTAATTCTATAAGTGTTCCATGATTAAGATACTTATTACTTATTGGAGATTTACTACTTGCGTAGTTTCTAACAACGGAAATAAGAACTCAAGCAACACCAAATAAAATTATTACCAAGTAAAACATGATGTTATCATGTAATTCAACTAGTGCTTCCATTTGAGGACTAGCACTATCTTGAAAATACACACCTCAAGGTCTAGGAGCATCACAAGTAAAAACAGAAAAGTTAAATAAATTGCTTATTTTGTACATATAAATAAAAAAAAATAAATATTAATAGTTCAAGGGGAGAAATATAACTGTATTATAAAAGTATAAAGCAAAAC